GCTATTCTGCCTTTTAGTCAGATGCAGTGGTGGGATTCAAATAGGTGAACAACCGGTTCTCTGTGTGGATGCCGCTTCCAGAAGTCCATTCTGTGCCTGGGCAACAAAAAATTAGCTACCGGTTCTGCCAAAGTGGTGCGAACTGGCTGAATCCCACCACTGGTCAGATGTCCATTCACAGTTAAGTAAAAGGCATGCACACATAGCAAATAGAAAGCAGCAATGGCACATGAAAAGAGTATCACAGATAGAGATATCACAATTGCAAGTTTTAGCTTTTGTGATCCAAGTCAAAGGAAAAGATTAATCAATTAAAAAAGGGAGGGAAGTTGCTCCATAGTTTAGATCTACAGAGAAGACCTATGTGATCATCTGCTGATCTTTAGAGGGTGGCGGGACATGGACTAGAATCTCCTCCTAGCAATTTCCAAGGGTGGGCAAAATACGGGTAGTCCTTGACTTTGGACCACAATTGAGCCCAAAATTTCTGTTGCTAAGCAAGACAGTTGTTAAGTGAATCTTGCCCCACTTTATGACCTTTCTTGCCACAGTTGTTATCATTGCAGTTGTTAACTTAGTAATATAGTTGTTAAGCAAATCTGGCTTCCCCATTGACTTTGCTTGTAAGAAGGTTGCAAAAGGGGATCACATGATCCCGGGACACTGCGACCATCATAAATATAAGTCAGTTGCCAAGAGTCTGAATGTTGATGATGTGACCACGGGGTTGCAGCAACAGTCTTAAGTGTGAAAAATGGTCACGTCACTTTTATAACTTCGAACGGTCACTAAATTAACTGTTGTAAGTCGGGAACTACCTACAATAAGGAAGTTAATATTCATTCAGACAATGAGATCCCAAACTATTTATGGTTTAAAGAGTAGCTTGAATTGGATTTCTGAATAAAGCTTTTTATGCAATGTGGCTCGCATTTATATTTTGTAGACCATTCAAACCGATGATTGATTTTTTGGGGGGGGGGGGGGTCTGGATATGCTTCAAAAGCATTGAGCATGTTGAAGAAGCTGTAAAGATGTAAGCAGCACATAGTGTGACTTGCTTTCTCCAAGGTGAATCATGGTTGGTACAATACACGAAGTTATTCAAAAGCTCTTTGGAACATTACCACCAGTGGTGGGATTCAGCTGGTTCGCACCATTTCAGCAGAACCGGTAGCTATTTTTTTGTTGCCCAGGCCCAGAATGGACTTCCGGAAGTGGCATCCACACAGAGAACCAGTTGTTCACTTATTTGAATCCCACCACTGATCACCACCATCTGATTCCCCTCCCCCCAAAGCCAAGGTGGCTCCAGAAGTATTCTGGACATCAGAAACTTATGAATCACTGTCTGAACATTCATTCCTAAATCAGTTTTCCAGCTATCCAAAAGGACTTTTTGATTGTTTGGATCTTCTCAGTCAGTACCAAGGTGCTTTTTCCCTGACCCTTTCCCCCCCCCCCCTTGTCTTTGCCTCCTGATTATTTTTTTTAACAAACACTCATTTTGCAATTCCACAGTATGTACACTTTCTTAGAACTAACCCATTGTTGTTGTAAGGCTACATGTAGGGATGGCTATACTGTATCTCAATATTCTGGTTTGTTTTTCCCCCCTACAATTGGACGGTTTAGAACCTAAGTCTTGCCCTCCCACACTGAATAAATTTGCAAATTTTCATCAGTTTCTATAAAAATGAATCCCATAAAATTTTCACTCATCTCAACTTTCTTCAGAGGAAGCCTACAGGACTGATGGACACGATTGTTCTAAACCAGGGGTAGGCAACCTTGGCTCTTTTATGACACGTGGACTTCAACTCCCAGAATTGGCTCAGGAATTCTGGGAGTTGAAGTCCACGAGTCATAAAAGAGCCAAGGTTGCCTACCCCTGTTCTAAACTCATATTTTGAATCAGCATCACATGGAAAGACAAACTAGTCCAGACTCTGGAAAGTGTCTTCATCTTGATGATGGCTACTAGGTAGTTCTGCAATGTTGAAGGAAGAAGGCAGGTTTCTGAAGGGAAGATGTCAATACAGGTAGTCCTCAACGTATGACCACAACTGAGCTCAAAATTTCTGTTGTTAAGCGAGCATTTGTTAAGTGAGTTTTTGCCCCATTTTTTTTACCTTTCTTACCCCCCTTGTTAAGTGAATCACTATAGTTGATAAGTTAGTAACCTGGTTGTTGAGTGAATCTGGCTCCCCCTGTTAACTTTACTTGTGAGAAAGTTTAAAAAGATTAATTTTTGTAGGCAAACCTCCACCAATGGACAAGATTGCTAAGGTTTCTAGAAAATGAATTAAAAAGCATTTCAATAATAAAAAAATGTTGCAAGAGCAGCAGATAAAATGATCCAGGTTTTATAGGCATGACCCGGGGACACAGCAACAGTCATAAAGACGCACCAGTTGCCGAGCATTTTAATTTTGATCACATGATTGTGGGGATGCTGTAAAGGTTGTAACCGTGAGAAACGGTCATAAGTCACTTTTTTCAGTGTGCTGTAACTTTGAACAGTCACTAAACGAACTGTTATAAGTCGAGGACTACCTGTTGCTACTTATTTGTAGATGTCATTTGGAATGTTGTGGTTTTAAATGGAAGAGATATTATATACTTGAAAATAATTACAAATCTGTGCCATAGACTTAACAAAAGGAAACGTGCTATCAGCTAACAAGTAATTCTTCAAAAATTAATTGAGGTCTCCCTGAAAGAGGGATTCTTATGTTATCAGCTACATTTTTGAGATTCAATGTTTAAAATACGATATATTGTAAAGGATGTATTTATTTGGACAATAGGGGTGATCATATTGCATTGCTGGCTGAAACAAATCATCTGCCTTATAAGGAATACCTATTAATGTATATAATATTCATGGCACCCTCAAGGTGACAAGTTGGGGAGAGAGCAGCAATAGACATCATATGAGTCATCATGTCACTGCACAAATAACACATATTAGGTCATTGGTGGCGAACCTATGGCACAGGTGCCAGAGGTGGCACTCGGAGCCCTCTCTGTGGGCACACGTGCCGTTGCCCCAGCCTTGCCTCCCCCCACGACCCCCTCCTCTCCAGCAGCCCCCCTGAAGGAGAGTCACCCCCGAGCGTGGCCCACCCGGAGCAGTGCAGCCAAGGACATGGCAGCCAGGCAGCGTAGACAAGACTCTGCCCTCACACCCCATCGTGCACAGTTGATGCTGCAGGGCGTGGGCAGAGGGCGTGACCGCCATAGCACTGCTGGGCTGCCTGGGCGATCTGCGGCAGGCCCTGGAAGTGGTGAGTGGCCCTGCGGGCAGGAGGGGCAGGGGATGGGGGCAGGGCAGAGGCGAGGCAGGGGGTGGAGTGGGGGTGGAGCCAGTTTTTGGGCACTCAGTCTCTAAAAGGTTCGCCATCACTGCATTAGGTCATCTGTGGCAAACCACATCATTTGTGTGATTATGTCATTATACATGTGGCATAACTGTGGTTTTTACCTGATGTCTGTGCTGGTATTTTAGTCTTTGTTGTACTTTTTTTGGGGGGGGGAAAGAGAACAGAAAGTGCTTTTGGGACTTCCTATGAATTGTTTTTCTCAGCTTCTTTGTCCTATAGCCAAGGAAAACAAAACATGTAGGACAGTTCTATTTCTATTACTCAGAAACAAGTTCCACCAATTTCAATGGCATTTATTCTTCAGTAAGTATGTATGGGTGCATATATAAACTTTAGTGAAGTTACTCGACCAATTTATCACAAATACAGAACATTATTCATGACCGTAGTATCTCCCTTTGCCTTCCAAGTAAGAATTCAGATGTTTCTCTGCTGGTTCTAGAATGCAGCCACCAGCCAACTCTTAAATATCAAATCAACGTTACAAGAAGTTGTGTGCATGACTGAAGAACAGACAAAGTGGTCATCAATTATTTCCATTTGTCATTTCAGTGTAATTGCATTTCATCTAGCTCTAATGATCAGGGAGATGTAGGCAAAGAAAGTCTTAACGATTTTTGTAGTTCTTCTTGCACCCATTAGAAAAAAAATATCAGTGTAAATTGCACATAGGAGCTTTCTCAATCCACACAACCCATGTTGCCCTGACTCTCTCTTTCTTTGCTACATTCCTCATAGTGCTGCCTTCATCTCTTCTACAATCCAGCAGGAGGATAGGCTTGAGCTGCCCTTGGCTACAGCAAAATTAAATGTGCATTTATCACCTTAACCTGGCACCATCTACGGGAGGCCTCATGGGGTGTAAATCTGTCTTCTACACCCATGGTCTTGGAGGGAAGTCAGGTGATTGTTGTGACTGGTGGTGGCTGGGAATGGAGACAACAGAAAAAAGGATAGAGATGAGTTACGGGAACAGCAAATGTCATGATGGTATTGCTTCCTGCTAGCTCTAGGGTGGATGGAGATTTCTATAAAGAAGAAAGAGCCATAACCATCCCTGCCAGCCTTCTACCTCTTCAAACATAGAAGTTCCTGTACTGCCTTCTGTCCCTAAGCTAGACCAGTGTTTCTCCACTTTAGCAACTTTATGTGTCTGGACTTTAACACCCAGCCAGTATGGGGAATTCTGGGAGTTGAGATCCAGACATCTTAAAATTGCAATGTTGAGAAACACTGGAATAGAGCTTCCTGGGCCACTGATAAATCCACTTTGATTTGTGATGTTCTAGCTCCAAAGATCAAATAGCCCAGGCTGTCTGTTCCAGACATTCCTTAGAGAATTTTAACAAACCATGCTAAAGCACATACATTGCCATTCTTGACTATCTGATATTATGAAATAAAAGCCGCCCTTTCAAATATCATGGCCATACCGGGAAAAGTAAGGTGATGCTTATCTTTCACAAAACTGAGATCTCTGACGTTAACAGAGTTCCTGACTTGATGAGAATCCTTATTTATCCACAAACACTTTATCACATTTGTTTTCTTTTGCCTTAGGAGTGCGAGACTTTTGAGAAATGTTGCCCTAACGTTTGTGGAACACGAAGTTGTGTTGCAGCCCGGTACATGGATGTGAGAGGGAAGAAAGGACCGGTCGGGATGCCCAAAGAAGCCACGTGTGACCGATTCATGTGTATCCAGCAAGGCTCAGAGTGTGATATCTGGGATGGGCAGCCAGTCTGCAAATGCAAAGACAGGTGTGAAAAGGAGCCGAGTTTTACGTGTGCATCTGATGGGCTCACCTATTACAACAAGTGTTACATGGACGCAGAAGCGTGTACCAAAGGCATCACCCTCAATGTAGTGACTTGTCGCTATCATCTCACCTGGCCAAATACCAGCCCTGTCCCAGCAGAGACTACTGCTCCACCAACAACCGCTTACTTGGAGACTACCATCACAGACATCCTCACGCCTGTTTTAGTCAACAACCCAACCCATCAGTCTGTCTACGTCGGAGAGACTGTAAGCTTTCATTGTGATGTCATTGGTCGACCTAAACCAGAAATCACTTGGGAGAAGGAGACTGAGAATAAAGAGAAAATAATTATGAGGCCTAACCATGTCCAAGGAAATATTGTTGTCACCAATATTGCCCAACTGGTAATCTATAACACGCAACTACAAGATGCAGGAATTTACACCTGCACAGCCAAAAACCTTGGTGGTGCTTTAAGGGTAGATTTCCCACTGTCGGTCCTCCAGGGAGAAGCTACTTCTCCAGAAACAGTGCAGAATAAAACTCACTTCCCAACCAACGAGTGCCTGAAGCAACCTGACAGTGAAGACTGTGGAGAAGAGCAAACCAGATGGTATTACGATGCAAAGAAAAACAACTGCTTTACTTTCATTTATGGGAACTGTAACAGCAATCTCAACCATTTTGAGACCTACGAGAGCTGTATGTTGACATGCATGAATGGCCCCATCAACATCTGCAGTTTGCCAGCCCTGCAAGGCCACTGCAAAGCCTATGAGCCCCGGTGGGCATACAACAGCTTGACGAAACAGTGCCAGTCTTTCATTTATGGAGGTTGCGGAGGCAATGAGAATAATTTTGAAAGCCGAGAGGCCTGTGAAGAATCGTGTCCTTTCCCTCTGGATAGACTCTGTAAAGTCTGCAAGGCTTGCAAACCCCGGCAAAAGCTGGTGACCAGCTTCTGCAAGAGCGATTTTGTGATTCTTGGCCGTGTCATGGAGCTGACAGAGGACCAAGAGTCTGGCCACGCCCTGGTGACGGTGGAGGAGATTCTGAAGGATGATAAAATGGGGCTTCAGTTCCTGGGAAGGGAGCCTTTAGAGATCACCTTGTTAAACATGAACTGGAGCTGTCCCTGCCCCAACATTACGGCAACGGAAGGCCAGCTCATCATCATGGGTGAGGTCTACAATGGAATGGCTGTTTTACAGCCAGATAGTTTCGTTGGGGCCTCAAGTGTCCGACGCATTCGGAAACTTCGTGAGGTCATCCACAAGAAAACCTGTGAGCTATTAAAAGAGTTCTTAGGACTGCACTAATGCCCCGAGAGTAGCTCGCTGGCTTTTCCTGATTTGTGCATTATATAGTAATAACAAACGATAGGTTTACCCTGAAAACCCCTTGTGTAACTCCTGTTTGCTAATATAGGTTATGTATCCCATATGAAGGAACGAATGGCATGTAGCAGAAAGAGAGCTGTTGTTTTTTTTTGACAAGTATTTTAAAATAGCAGAAAACAGCAATTAATATTTAGAATTCGATCTATCTATCCCTCTAGAAATGCCATTTGGTGTTTATCGCTTGTCAACAATGCGATTTTCATCGTATATATATATATAAAAAAAATCAATTTTGCAGCATTTGTCCAGAGCTAAAACAGGCAAACTCTTACCCTAATAATAGCTCTTGTTTGGAATATAGAGAAGTTTGTGAAAGGCATCTGAAATACATCACACTCTTCAGTATATTGCAAAAGAATATGTAAATTATTGCCTATAATCACGATAATTATAGCTGTTATACCAATCTATGGCTGCATCTGTTTGACTGGAAATGATTTCGAGGCAGGGACTTCATCTTTAGTAGACATTTGTGTAGCAGATTTTTATACAGTGTGTGTCCATCTAGTCACATTCCAAATGATCTGTTCTATCAGATGATGAACCTGGAAGCAAAACCACATATTATGATCTCACTGCACTATCCTACCCAAATAAGACATTGTGCACCACATTAAGTATTAAACATTTTGCACTGCACTGAGGAACAGCATTAGTTTCTCAGCTCTCCAAACCCCTTCCAACCTCTGCTCAGTTGTGATTTTGTGCTACTTTTAGCTGGGAATTAAGGAAAACTATGGTGAAGCTTCAAGTAGTCTTAGCGCGGTTCTCGCTCTACAAAAATCCAGAATAAAATAGAAAATAACATTATGCATCATCATTCCTGTCATTGAACATCTCCAGTTCTTTCCTTTGTATTCTGCTGTCTCCAGGTACTGCAACGCCCACTGGCCAGTCTTTTTTGTCTTTCTTACTGACAATTGGGCGTTATGTGTCAAGTAGCTGTCTGTTCAAATACTGAAGTCCCAAAGCGCTTTAGTTTCTTCATTTTCCATTATTTTGTCTTTTTTTGTGCTCCCCATCATTTTATGTTTGCGAGCAAGTGGTATTTCTTGCAGATATTCCAAGGCAGCATTATTGTACTTTGTCATGCTGTTGTTTGTAGTCAGTCTGTGTGATCTTCTTGCAGCAGCTGAATAGGTGGTCCACGGTTTCTTCAGCTTCTTTGCAGAAGGGGTGTTTGCTTTTTGTTGCTGTCTTCTCAATTCTGGCTTCTTATGCATTTGTTCTTAAGACTTAGTCTTGTGCAGCCAGAATTTAGCTCTTCAGTCTCTTGTCACAACTTGTTATCTGCTTTGTCTGTTAGGTTTGTTTTTGTATACTGATCATGTAACACTTTGCCTTGCCATGTCTCTTTTCTGTTCTTCATTTAGTCTTTCTTGTAAGTCAGTTTGGACTCTTTGATATTCAGTAAGTCTTTATGGAGGACCAACTTCAGTGCATCTACCTCACTGTCCTTCAGATATTCTTCCAATGACCTTTTTTTTCTTTTTCAACTGTCTGCTATAGTTGCTACATTCCATGCCCAACTATACTCCTTGGTAAAAAGAGTCTGTCAATGTTGCTGTGTTGACGAAGGGCTAGATTCATTATCATTATTTTTCTAGTCTTCTTATCCAGGATTTCTAATACTGCTTGAGCCCATTCCATTATTCCACCTATATTTCTAATGACTGGAATTGCCCAAGTGTTAATTGCCTTGATGATATTTTCTCCACTGAGTTTGGACTTTATGATCTTCTTCAATCTCATAATATATTCACTTCTAGCCCAAGTGTGCTTGATGTTATCAGCTTGGAGGATGTGCCCAAGTATTTGTAGTGATCTTCTTAATCCAGACTCTTGATATTATTTCCGTAGGGCAACTTGATCCCTTCAGTTTTCATTACTTTTTCCTTTCCATTATAAGGGAGGTTTTGCCAGAGGTTCAGCAATCTTCAATTTCACCTCCTTGCAGTATGACGTTAAATGCTTGGCAATGTTTCAACCAAAAACCATGCAGTTCATCTTCATCTGATGCTGACCAATTCTTGATCTTCCTTATCCTTTTCTCCATGCTTTCTACTATTATAACAAATTCTTTCATTTCAGTTTCTTTTTTTATTCTTATCCACCTTCTTTAGTCAAGCTATGGTCTTCGGGTAGTCCATAACTGTGCCCAAAGTGCTCTTTTTTTCTTTGTTAGCTGTTGGCTGGTTTATTGTACTGTCTCCATTGATGGGCAGGTAGGAACCTTTCAGATTCAAACTTGAAATTGAAGATAGTATGCAGTTGAATTTCATACTGTATCTACTTATTTTCTTGTCTATAGCTGTTATTTGCTGCATTATTATTTCCGTTGCTTATTTAATCTTTCTTGTTTCTAGGCTATATTTCTTAATCAAGTATTTTTTTGCTCTTCTTATTCTTCAGCCTCTTTCCTTTTCTCTGGTCTAGTTTACTTGCTTCTAAACTTAGCTTGCTGATCTTATTTTCCAGCCTGATCTTCCATTTTGGTGGTGCACTGTTTGGCATCTTTTTCTTTTGTCTTGATTTTGCATCCAAAGTATTCAGTTGTAACTGCAGCCATGCTGTACATTAGTTATTTGTTTCTTGCAGTGAAGCGGTGTTTGTATTTGATATTACAGAATTGACAACTTTTAATACTTGTGCTTGCTGTTTCTTTGGAACAAGCTTCAATGCATGCAACCTTATTTCGTTGCTTTTGTGCTGTCCTAGAATGCTCAGTGATTCTTTGTTTCACTTGATCTTTTTTAGTTAGAGGGCTTTGTTATTTCTGAGAAAGAGGCAGAGGAGAGGATATTTGGTTTGGAACTGAAAACAATTCAATAGCTATGCTGGCTTCCTCTACTGCTGAATGTTGTTGTTTGATGGTATTAAAGATATCACTGGAGGATGTAAGCTGTTCCAAATAAAGCTGCCTCTTGCAATTCAGTAATGGTGATTTATTTTCCAATACCAATGGTATTCAAGTGGTTCTCTAGATGTTTTGGGATTTCACTCAAGGAACCTATTATTATTGATGCTTTGTTTTCTTTTGCCACAATCATTCAACTTATATTTGCAGCTCTTTGCATTTTGTGATTTTCTCCAGTTCTTTCTCTTCTATTCTGCTGTTTCCTGGTACTGCAGCATCCACTATTCAAACTTTTTGGTGCTCCTTATCAACAATTGTTAAGCCTGGGGTGTTATTATTATTATTTATTCAGTGGAGAGCACTTGAGTGTTGAGTTTGAAAACAACGATTAATCTCGGACACAGCCTGTTCATAGGCATTTGCATTTTTACATTTTCCAAATAAACTCACTCCTGAGACCAAGACACAGCAGGGTGGATGCAGTGCAGGGAGAGAGAGTAGAAAGTCAGTTGCAGCTGTATTTCTTGCTGAAGACCAGCCAAGGCGACTCTTTCTTCATTAGTCGTTTTCAGCATCACTAGAATGGCTTGGCAACTCCAATTTTAGTCCCATCCCCAGCCAGTTTCTTTTTCTTCTCTTCATGCCACAATTTTGGCAGCCTCATCCTGCTCTCCTGCAATTCCAGAAACACCATCCAGATGCCCGATGCAGAGGATAGTGAAGTGAGGCACCATTATTGCAGCTGGATTTTCCGTATTCAGACCTAAGACTGGTGGTCGCTGTGAAGGTCAGCTACCAGGCCAAGGTTCCAAGTTGCATTCGGATGATCCTTGCGTCTAGCAATGGCCCTTGTCTCTTCCTATCTTTATTTCAGGGACACAGATTCATTGCTGGAAGCCAAGGCTGAAATTTACCAAGAAAGGACACTTTGGAGTGATGGAAAGGATCTTTTTTCCAATCAGCGATCTTTAGATTGGGATTGCATGATAGTAAAGCAGAGGCCCAGCCCTAAGCAATTTCTCTTATTTCCCTTCCCAGCTGTCTGATCTCTACCTCAGCTCTGATGGTATCTCTTAGTCATTAAAAAGCTTTGCTTTTAGGCTAGAAAGCCAGTACAGTTGACCTATCAATACCGTATGATCTGATGAGGGTCAGGCTTTTAGTATGAGCACATGGCTAAGCGCCTTTCCCTTTTTGCAAATTACCACAGCACAGACATGCCTTGACATTGTTTTTTTTTTCCCCTGATAGACCCCTGTGACATTGCCTTGATCTTGTCCTCATCTTCTGAGCAGGGCAACCTTAAATCACCCTTGGCCTTTAGCTGGGATGCTGTTAAAAGAGTGTTTTTCCTGAAGCCAAGAGCATCCAGAGACAGCTGCAAAGAGTGGATGCATTTTGCCGCCAATTCTATCAGAGGCAGTCAGCTAGGTCAGTGATGGTGAACCTTTTAGAGACAGAGTGCCCAAACTGCAACTTATTTATCGCCGGGTGCCAGGTGGGCATGGGCCACTGGGTGGGCGTGGCTGTGGTGGTCATGGCAGATTGGATGGGTGTGGCCGTGATCACCTCAATGTTGCTCGTGGGGAGGGATGCCTGTGGGGGCCGGGCAGGGTTGGGGGAGATACAGGGGGTCTCTGGCAGGTGGGACAGTGGGCAGGAGGCTCGTCCTGCGGGGTGAGGCAAGGCGAGGCAGGGCGGGGGTGCCATTGTCACAGGGCAAGGTGAGGCAGGGGCTGGGGCAGTTGCTGCCTGACACCATTGGGCCCTGCACCCAGAGGCCAGTGAGCGCATGGGTGCTGGGATGCATCCGGCCATATGGGACCTTGGCAAGTTAGTAGGCGGCTGGTTGAAGTGGGACGGTTGCCATCTCCAGGGCATGGCCCATGTGCCCACAGAGAGGGCTCTGAGTGCCGCCTCTGGCATGCATGCCATAGGTTCGCCACCACTGAACTAGATACTCCTTGACTATTTCAGGCCAAAGTAGGGGGGTTCTTCTCCTCTGGTTTCTGGATGGTCTCCTCTGCCATTCAGCCCTTCATCTTTCCCCTCCCCTCCCCCCCACTT